TGGGGGCGATATGCTGACTCTGTAAACCGCTTAGAGAGGGCTGAAAGCCCTATGAAGCGGTAGATAAGTCTAACTGCTATTGCTATTGCTAATTAACAACTCCAGTGCTTCGCTTAACAACCAGGAGCTAAACAGATACCCCTGATTTATTGCAATATAAAAAACGCAAATAATTTTTTCTGCAGACCACCAAAATTTTCTCACGGACCACCAGTGGTCCACAAACCACGAGTTGCTGGCCAATGGTTTACACAATAGAGCCAAGCCGTGTAACAGCTGGTTCAGTGTGACGGATGCAACCTTGCCTTGAATTATATTTTATGAGGCCTTTTGACTCTGTAGGGACTACAGCTCTCACCGGTCACATCTGGAGAGAGCGTCCCTTTGAAAAAGGCTCTTGCAGATAAAATAATAGCAAGGACAAGCCTCCAACACACCGATCCGTCCTTCACCCAACCTCCTTGGGCTCCCAAAAATTTGGCCACGGACATCTTTTAGCCAGATGGGAAGTACAGACAGTGGGTTTTTTTCCCTTCTGCTGGCCTGGAAATCCTCATTCTTCCCCCCCCCCCCTCCTCCTTCCATAGTTGGTTGCGAAGAGGAATCGAGAATGCCAGCGCTGTAAGCTTTGCTGCCTTTTGATCTTCGAGAGAGCCAGTTCGACAAGAATTACCAGCCCCGTACGGCTGGCTGGCTCCCTGGGATGATCGTTTGGCACCTGGCCGAGCAGAGTCAACTGCCTCTGAAGAGAGAGGTGTGGGGTTTTGAAATGTTCCTGGGTAGTTTAGGCAGGTAGTGTGAGATAAACCTGCAATATAGGTGTGTGCCTGTTTGGGCAAGAACCCCGTTGCTGATTGGGTAGCCGGGCGTTTGCGCACCGGGAAAGTCTCTCCCCCCCCCCCCTGCGCTTTTTATATTTCTCTCCCTCTCTCAAGAGCATCTCCTTTTCTGTTTTGCATTCCTCTTTTCTCCTCTTAGACTCCGGGGAGCCTCCGGCCAGCGACCCCAAAGACCTAGAGGAACCGCCGATGCAGAAGCCCCCGGGAAGCCCCTTAGTGCTTCCCCACACTTTGCAAGAGCTGTTGAGCAAGGACACCGTCCAAGTGCAGCTCATCCCGGAGAAAAGGGGGCTGTTTTTGAAGCACGTGGAATATGAAGTCTCCAGCAAGGTAGGTGACGAGGAAGGGACGCGATCCTGGGGTTTTGGCTTTGGGAAACTCGGTTTGATCCTCCCGGGGGGGGGGCTGAGCGGAGGAATAAAAGGGGGGTGTATTGGGAGAAAGCCGTAAGGTTGGTCTGAGCGAAGGGTGAAGCAATTTCTCTTGGCTTTTAGGCTGAAGCTGGGAAGACTGAGAAGAATTACGGCTTCCTAAAACAGTGTTTCTCAACCTTGGTGACTTGAAGTCCTGTGGACTTCAACTCCCAGAATCCCCCAGCCAGCATATCTATGCTGGCTGGGGGATTCTGG